CACTCCACCCCACCAGGCCAAGTACGGGGACGCCTTTGAGGCCGTCAAGGGCCGCACCAGCGTGCTGCCCTTCCAGGCCATCTGGGAGGGGAGGCAGAAGCTGCCGGGCGACTACTACCGGGAGTTCCTGCGCTGGCCCTACGTGGCGGTGACGCTCTTCACGCTGGGTGCTTACTACGCCCACCCCCTCATGCAGCAGGCCTCCTATGCGCTGAACTGGTAGAGCACTGGTTTCTGGGCGGGGCTGCTGGCGTGTCTGCTGCACCAGTGGCACCCTGGGTTTTATCAGTCACAGGCGCGGCTGCGTGTGTTCTGTGGTGTGCAGCGGGCGGACCTGCTGCTACCCCCAACGAACCATATCATCCCTTTGCTGATGGCCGGCCGGACGCCTGAACACAGTTTAGCTCCTGGCATGTAACCCTTATTGTGCGCAGTCGTGTCATTGGGGGGCCCAGGCCAGTTTCTACTGTGGCCAGCTTGCTGCAACAGGCCTCGCTGAGAGGCGGCCCAAGCGCAGCCGTGACGGGGGTTGAGCATCAGGGTGTGACCACGTTGCACAGTACAAACTTGCGCACAGGGGCTGAAAGGGCCGTTTCAAGTGCACACGGCCTCCCAAATTGAGTGCATGCCTTGGCATTTGCCTCCGCTGCCCTTCTCATCGAATCTGGTTGCGGCGGCGGCCTCAGCTGGAGAAGCTAGGGGCAGCACGCTACGGCGGCCGAGGGGGGGGGGCTGACACACATAGATCTGCATGAAGCTGCAGCACATTACGGTGCACGGCTGGGGGCACCGGTGCGTTCGGCCGCGTGGCATGGGGCTGGCTCGTGTACCAGGCACGTTGTGATGGCAGGTTCAGTGTGTGCGGTCTGTGAACTAATTGCGCACTTCATGCAGAATGTAATGGCATACTCACTCTTCTCCCCTGCCTAGCGTGGATGTACACACGTCGTCTCGAACCCACACGCTTTTGCCTTATACACACGCATTCATACACGCCACCTGCATCTCGGCGCAGCCAAAAAGCCGTGCGGTACCACATGCAGGCCGCCAGCAGCCCAGCAGCGACACTTGGCGCTTCTCTATGGAATAATTCCAGGCCGTGACACAGCAAGCCCAGCTGCTGAGGAGCCTGGCAACACCTGGGGTTGCTCGGAGCGTATGTGTTGCACTCTGCCATAACATGCAATGCAGATGCCCGGATGAACGTTGGGAGTGATGTCATTCAATCCAGGCAGCAACTCTGGCGGTTCACTGTGTGGCTCCGGTAGTATGAGAACGGTGGTTGCTGGTGAACTTATGAACCGCTTTGGTCCAATTTGGTCAACTCCAACTGTTGCACCACCACGACCTGCATCCTCCATATTTTTGCGAGCCTCAAAGCGTACTACAATCTGTTGACGTTCCATATGCGACGGGCATTGCTGGCACCTTTGTCAACATCGCGGAGTTCGTCAACCTGTCACCCTTTTGGTGATCTGACCGCTATGGTGGCAGCAGATCATAAGTACTCCTCTAGTTGTAGGCGTCGCTGCACTGCACGTATTCAGTCCGCTCAAGCAAGGTTCACCCCAGCTCTGTAGACGGGTAACTGCTGAGCACTCCAGTCGTCATTGCCCCACTTCAGAGCGTATTGTGAAGGCTTGACAAAATCCTGGGTACATCACGTACCTTGCCCTGCACCTATTCCCCGCCGCACCGCCCCCCCGCCGCACCACTGTCACTTGCCTCAACCGCACCAGTGATGGTCGCGCCTGGCAAGTGGGCCGTTGTTACGGGAGGTGTGTCGCGTATCCCACACAATTTTGGATCGACCCGAACGTTACACCCCTCGCGTCTGCCTTCACATCATGTCATGACAGGCCCCACAGGCGCGCTTGGCCCGCAATGCGCGAGCTTGCGGCCATGAGCGCCGTGATGTCACCGCCCCTGTGCACCCCTCCTCCCTGCTCCTATACTATGCGACAGCCAATCGCGGCCTGGGCTTTGATGTTGCCAAGCAGCTGGCCGCATCCGGTCGTTCTGTGATCATCACCTCACGAGACAAGGCTGCCGGTGCGCCCGTCTCCGCCCTGCACCCGCAAAGCACGCAAGCTGAGCTCAGCGCACCTGCCCACCACTTGCGAAGCAGCCCAAATGCCACCACGGCTTGTGGTGCTTTGGAGTGGCACACTGCGTTGCTGACATGGATTTCTTCACAATGCTCATGCGAACTAAGCATGATCCCGTAATACAACCTGCCTAATCCCCCCCTTGCCCCTGCACCGCCTCTTCAGGCGCCGCTGCCGCCCAGGCTCTGTCCGAGGCCGCGGCTCCGGGTGCCAGGGTGGTGGTCCTCCAGCTGGAGGCCAGCAGCCCTGACAGCATCAGGGCGCTGGCGGCCGAGGTCCAGGCCGAGTACGAGGGCCAGGTCGACCTGCTGGTGGGCGGCTGGGATCGGTGGGATCGGGTGCGTGAGCAGCATGCTTGGGTGAGGGAACCAAGCAGCTGGGCGAGGGATAGAGGATGAAAGGAATACATGGGGTCCCGTAGCTCATTTGCATTGCTCAACGGCTCCCGGAGTACCCAGTAGTAGCTTCATTGGCACGCAGATCAACAACGCGGGCATGACAGTGGACGGCATTTCAGCAGCAGACCACGAGGCCACCCTCAAGACCAATCTTGATGGCGCCATCGACATCACACTGGCGCTGCTGCTGCACCTGGCTCAGGGCGCGAGGGTCGTCCAGGTCGCATCACGTGAGTCACGCCTGCGTGCTTCAAATGCGTGCTTGATATTTCCAGGCTCTCAGCCAATATTGCTTGTCCGCAGCGAGCACCATTGGGAAGCGCGGCTTCTCAGACTCTCATGGGAACCCCGCATGCGCGAGGTTGGCCGCGCCACGCGGCTGGTCGCTGTGTAGCTCGTGCTACTCGCCAAAACTGTCCACGCCACTCGTTCAGGGAGGGGCATGCTGAGCACAGTGGGCCCGGGCTATGGCGAACGGATCAAGGCCGCCGCCACCCTGGATGAAGTCAGGGCCGCAGCCCACAGGTTTGACCCCGATCACCTGGCCCAAGGTCCTGCCACAGGGCAGTCATACGCCGTGTCCAAGGCAGCGCTCATCAGGTGCGGTTGCTGGGTATTGTATGTGTACGTATGCGCACAATGCGGTTAACCACTTACACAACAGGCATCGCCGCGTGGGAGTCGGTCCTGGTTATAAATCCCTTGCCACCTCAAGCCCCATGGCAGCGTGATTGCCCAAGTGACGCTGCGCACCTCAATTGCGTTTTCTTGCAATGTTTTGCTGTGCAGCACATATGTTGACACAATCACTGACTACAGCTTTGCTGTTCCCTGCTTGATGCAGACGCGGTGGGGGTTTTGACCAACTCAGCACATACCCCACTGCCCTTGGCGCGCAGGGCAACCCAGCTAATGGCGGAGAGCCCACACTTCAAAGCTAGGGACATCTCAGTAGTGGCGGTTGCACCTGGGTGGTGGTGCGTGGGCATTTCCAGGAATGGGCCAAGACACAGGCGTCGTGATATTGGTGACCACTGATCAGCTCAGTGGCATGCCTGTTGCTGCACCGCATGGTGGTGTCAATGCTCAGTGCCGGCAGCTGTTGATGTCTACATTATGATGTTGGCTGACTTTGGCATGTTGATGCCGATTGGCGTGTTTCACCACAAAGCATGCCATCCCAGTAGTGCGCTTGCCTGAATGTGGCCTTCCTGAATGCAGCATATTCTCAGCATATTCTCACCAGCTAGCAATGCGCCGATCTCCCGCTGCCCCCCTTGGGACCCCTGGTGGCTCTTACCCCCCAACACATGCAGTGCGACGGACATGGGCAGCGCCGTTGGGGTTGGAGCCGCCGCGCACCTCGCAGCAAGGGGCGCGCTCCATCCTCCTGGCATCAGAAGACAACATCCCCAACGGCAGCTTCAGCTACGACGGCAAGCTCCTGGACTGGACCTCCAAGTGAGGCCGCCCTGCCTGAAGGCATGCGCATCAACTGGGCCGCACGCGAGAGGGGGCCTCCATCCTTACAACAAGAGGCTGCGGCATCTTGTGGTGCATGCGCCTGCTGTCTTGCACGCGTCAATGGCCTTTCACCTGCCCCGGGGTCCAGAGGGGTGCAGAGGCTGGGCCGCCCAGGCGGCGGGCTCCTGAAGTGGCTTTGTGGTTTATGTTGAATCAGGCGCTGATATTGTTGCCCCTTATGTGTATGCTTGCTGGCAGATCCGTTGGAAGGTTAGGAATGAGGAGGTCCGCTCTAATGAGCGCGAGGCCGATGGCAGTGATGCTATGGTATGAGTAACTT